CCCCAAGGCCCGGCCGGGCGCTGCTGCTGCTTTCCTCCACTGGGCTGAGGTCCAGGAGGAGGAGGAGGAAGAGGGGAGGCAGCAGCTGGCCGGGCTCCAGGGCCAAACAGCTGCTCCTGCGGTTACAAAACCGGCCCTTGACCCGCAACAACCCGCGTAAACAACCATGAGCCGAAACGTGGAGCCGCCGGAGCGAGATGGAGGCGCCGGGAAGTGTCAGCCCCTGCCCAACCCCGGGCCTCGAGCGGAGGAGGCACAAAGTGGCCTTCAGCTCCGGAGGCAGCTCCCAATTCCGCCAGGGTGGTCCCCCTGGATACATCCTGCGGCGCAGGAGCGGGATTCTGAGCCCCACAGCCGCTGTTTGGGTGCTGGAAGGCAAAAATCCCCCCCCCCCTCCATCCCAGGAAACAGAGCTGGGATCATCCACCTGGGTCCTGGGTGCCGGAAAATGTGGGCGGCATCTCGTCCTGTCCCCTCGGGAGCGGGCGCCGAGCTCCGGTGCCGTTAAAAGCCGACGTTAAAATAAATAAAAGCAGGGGCAGAGGTGGCCCCGGAGGAGTCTGTGCAACGGGGACAGCGCAGGGGGGATGTCCCTGGTCCTCAGTTCACCAGCAGCGCGTTGTCCGACAGCGGAGCCCTGCGGGAAGAGCCAAGGCTTGGGAAGCGGATCGGGATGAGCCCTGGGTCCCCTTCTTGGGTAATAGGGGGAAGAAAGTAACGGAATGCAGTGGGAGAAGGAGGTTTTGTCCCAAATCCCCAAGGGAAGCTCAAGGTTGGTGCCTATGGGTGAATTTTGGAGCCCCAAAGGGGTCCTTAAGGGCACAAAACCACTTTGGGGTGCCAAGAGGGAGCCTGGATGTCCCTGGTCCAGGTGGGACCATCCCAGGAGAAGAGGAACCAACAGCAGAGCAGCCTCAAACCCTCCTCTTTCAGCACAGGGGCTGAAGCCACGTGGCACAGGGGGGACAGCAGTGACCAGGGGGACCTCGACGGGTCCCCAAAAAGGCGCCCACCTCTCGCAGCAGCAGAAGACGGAGCAGGACGAGGAGCTCTCGCGCCGGTACTTGCCCGACTTGGGGCTGTCCTTGCACTCGGCGATGAAGGCGTGGAGCTGGGACACGGGCGTCTCGCCCTCGCACTGGTGCTGCGGGGACACGGGGACACGATCGGGGCCCGGCTCCGCAGCGGTGCCATCGCGGAGGGGGTCGCGGCGCCGCAGCCCTCACCTTGATGGTCTCGTAGGAGCCGGTGATGAGGGCGATGAAGAGGCTGAGCACCATGTAGATGAAGAGGCTGATGAAGGTGTACAGGTAGATCTGGCTGAAGAGCCACACCAGGTAGCTGTTCTGCTGCATCTCGGCGAAGGTGACGAACATGTCGTCCCCGTTGATGAGGGAGAAGAGGCACTCGGACACCATGGAGAGCGAGCGGAACTGGGATGGGAGAGGAGGGAGGGCACCTCAGGCCTTTCCAAACCCAGAGGAAAGAACCGGAGAGTCCTCGAGGAAGGTCCTGGCCTGCCCTTGGTCATCAACACCCCACAAACCACCCTGGGGATCTGTCAAGGCACCCAAGACGGGCGCCCAACTCAAAGAGAGGCCCCCAAAGATGGGCGTCCAACCCAAGAAGAGCCCTCAAAGAAGGGCAACCCAACCCAAGGCAGGGTGGTGATGGGTTTATGGTGGGACTTAATCATCTTAAAGGTCTTTTCCTACCATCACAATTCTATGATTCAAAGGAGGACCCCGAAGATGGGCAACCCAATGCAAGGAGAGCCCCCACAAAGGGGAGCAAACCAAGAAGAGCCCCCAAAGATGGACAACCCAACCCAAGGCAGGGTGGTGATGGACTTATGGTTGGACTTGATCATTTTAAAGGTCTTTTCCTACAATAATGATTTTCTGACTAAAAGCAGGACTCAGACAGGCGCTCCAACCCAAAGGGGGACCCCCCAAAGACAAGCAACACCATCCAAAGGGAGGCCCCAATGATGGGCGACCCCAACCCAAAGGGGGGCCCCCCAAAGACAGGCAACCCAACGCAGCTCCCATCTCCTTCCAAACCAGGAGAAGGCAGGAATGGCCCTGGAAGGAGGGAAAATCCAGGCCGAGACGCTTGGGAGAGGCACCTTGACGTGGTAGGGGCCCAGCACGATCCAGCCGCAGAAGCAGTAGCCCAGGTAGATGACGGCCACGCAGCAGCAGAAGCGGATGACGTTGGGCAGGGCCACCCGCAAGGTGACGATGAGGATCTGGTGGAAGAACCGCGTCGGGATCATCCTGCTGTCCCTCCTACGCTGAGGGCGATGGAGGGAGGGAAAGGGGACAGCGAGGACACACGGTGGGAACACCATGGGTGACTCCAAGGGCTTGGGAAGAGCAAGATGGGAGCCCCAAGGTGCTGCTGTGGCCCTGAGCCCAAGGGGACACCTGTGGCCTTGGTGCCAGGCTGTTCCCACCCTAGTGAACGTCCCCTGAGCTCGAGCAGGGCCGAGCGTGTCCCCAAGGCCACTCACGTTGTACTTCTGGAAGAAGGTGAGGTAGCGGATGACCCCGACCCAGACCAGCAGCGTGGAGGTGCCCAGGAGGATGCTGCACACGTCGTAGCTGGCAAAGTTCTGCGGGGACAGAGGTGGCCTGAAGACGTGGCCACCGCTGTCCCTCAACCCCCACCAGAGCCTTGAGCAGTCCTTGTCCCCCTCTCCATGCCAACCAGGGGCTGGTGGCAACCTGGCCACCACTGTGGGCAAGCGAATGGCCCTGGGTGGCAGAGGCTTTGGTGGCAGCCACCCGCTGTCCCGCGCGGAGGCTGCCGGGGGCCGCCCCTGGCCCCGCCTTTTTTTCGCACCTTGGACTCGATGCCGATCTTCATGACGGTGCCCAGCACGGTGAGGACGTCGCTCACCACCAGCAGGATGTACCAGCCGTTGAGGAACTCCATGCGGTCCGACAGGCCCACGCTCTGCTTGTAGCGGCGCTGGAAGAACCGGCTGAACTCCTGCGCTCCGGAAAAAAAAAAAAATCGGGATGCGGTGGCTCACCCAAACCTCCATTCGGCACCTGGGGCCACCTCTGAAACGTGGTGGCCCTGGGGACATCCCCGGCACTCACGAGCTGCAGCAGGAGGCCCCGGATGATGGAGCGGGCGCAGAGGATGAAGGAGAGCGAACACACGAGGATGACGACGACGTCGAAGAACAGCCGGAAGGAGTTGTCACCTGTGAGGGTGTCCGGGTGGATTGTCCCCACGAGCGATGCTGGGGGGTCCCGGAGCAAATCCGGAGCCCTCGTGCAGCACCCGACACCCGCTAGGGAATGTCACATTTGTTCCCGGATCCCGGACCCGCGTCCTACCTCTTCCGAAGACGCTGGGGTCCTTGCACTCCTTGATGTCCGCCTGGTTGTCGAGGCGGATTTTCACCCGGCCGCTGTGAGCCTTGTTGTCGAAGGTGATCTGGGAGCAGGGGGACAGTCGAGATGTCACCCGGCGGCTCCCGAGGCCACCGTCCCCGCGTGGGGGCCACCGTCCCCGCGCACTCACGGTGATGGTGAAGGTGTAGCAGTCGGGGATCTCGTTGTTGATGATGGTCTGGATGTTGATGGCTTTCAGCTTGAACTGGATGGTGACGTTGATGAGCCTGTGACGGGGGACACTTGTCAACGCTCCCTCCTGGGGCTTGTTTAGGACAGGGGTCACCCTGTGCAACCCCCCTATCCTGCTGGGAGGGCAGAGGGGGGTCACTGAGCCCAAATTCTCCACCGGAGAAGCGCCCGGACGCCTGGGTCCTACCCGGAGAGGGAGATGGAGAGACCGGAGGCAGCAGAAACTCGTGTCCCATTGGGCCAAACCAGGGAGAAACTAAAGTGGGATCAAATCACAGCCCCCACAGCGGAAAAACGGGAAGGTGGAAAGACAAAAACACCCCTCAAAATAACCAAGGAAGCAATGGCCACGTCGCACCGACACCGGAAAGGAGAAGGGGAAGCGGGACCGAGACGATGTCCTGCTCATGGAGCTGAGTTCGGGGAGTCGGAGCGCGGCCGCTTCCCGCTCGGCCGGTTTCACATCCCTCTGGGATCTCTCCGTGTCGCCCAGCAGCGCTTTTGCCACCAACGGATCCCTTGGGGCTCCGGCAGCGGCGGCGAAACCACTTGGAGCTCAAGGAAATCCCTGGAGTGGGATTCGCGTGCACCAACAGCCGCGGAGCGCCGGGATGCTCCGGAAAAAGGGAAAACCAAAGGCCGCGGCTCTCACTTGTGGAATTTGAGGGTGAAGTTCCTGTAGCTGCGGTCCAGCTCCGGCGGGAGAGGCTGCGGCTCCTGCGGCTCCACTCCCAGACAGTCTGCGGGGACAAAGATCCAGGGAGGGAAGGGAAAACCGAGCCCCACACCGGGAGCTCGTCCCCCAAAAACGCACCGGTGACGATGTGGGGGTCGATGTTGAAGGTGTCGTTGGCGGGGTCGATGCGCCCTTTGCGGTAGAAGTGCTGGCACAGCATGAGCGCCGAGCGGTTGGCGCCGCGCTCGGGCCGCACGTAGGCGTAGCGCCCCACGGCCTCGTCGGGGATGGCCAAGTACTGGCGGAGGGGACAACGGGGGGCTCGGCGTCGTGTCACCGTGTCCCCGAGCCCTCCGGCGGCCCCGCGCGGCTCCCACCTTGTCCACGGCGTGGAAGACGCGCGCGTAGAGCTCGCGCTGCGTGTACACGGCGTACGCGTCGTCGGCGCCGTCCGCATAGTCCTTGAGGAAGAGGTGCTTGAAGGCCACCGTGTTCTCCTCCTTGAACGTCACTACCATCTGGTTGCTGAGCCCGAAGAGGATGAGCTGAGGGAGAGCAGGATTCAGCCTCCCCGCCGACGGGCTCCTTCCCGAATCCGCCTCCTCCGGGTGTTCCCGATGGGAATACGACCCACGTGGCAGACGCTGCTGCTCGTGTCATTTTTTAGGCTCTTTTCCCCCCTTTCCTGGTGCTTTTCCTATCACAAACAGCTCCTGGGTGAAGCTTTTCCCACCCCGCTCCGGCCAGGCGCGGGATGAGGCTCTTCCAGGAGCCGTTTCCCTAATCTGCCCTTTTCCTTCCCCATCCGAGCGCCGCCTCCTTCCTCCCCAGCTGCTGGGGAAGGCGCCAGGGACGATCCCGTCGCTTTTCCATGCGGGAAGAGGGTCACGCGCCGGCAGCTCCCTCCGAACCTCGTGACGGCCCCGAGCGCGGCCGGGCCGCTTTTGTCCGCGGATAATTTTCCGCCCTTTTCCCGGAGCGTTGCTGTCCCTGGAGCGGGATTTACCTCTCCGGCAGCTCCCTGCTTTTCTGGGGCGCTGCTGGCATCACCTGCTGTCCCCCACCAGTGTCCCCCTGTCACCTGCTGTCCCTGTGGCTGGGGCTCCCCCCTGTCCCCAAGCCCCTGTGCCCAGTGTCCCCAGGCCCCGATGTCCCTGTGCCCCACAGTGTCCCTGTTCCCCCATGCTCGGTGCCCCTCAGTGTCCCTGTGCCCCCCACTGTCCCCGTGTCCCCAAGGTCCCATGCCCTGGTGTTCCCAAGCTCTGATATCCTCGTGCTCCCCAGTGTCCCCGTATCCCTATGACCTCTGTCCTCAAGCTCTGATGCTCCCCACTGTCCCCATGTCCCTATGCCCAGGGCCCCAGTGTCCCCATGCTCTCCCATGTCCCCCAGCCCTGGTGTCCCCAGACTCCCCACTGTCCCCATATCCCTAAGTCTTGGTGTCCCCAAGCTCCTCATTGGTCCCATGTTCCCACTGTCCCCAGGCTCCTTGCTGTCCCCAGGCTCCCCATTGTCCCCAAGCCCTGGTGTCCCCAAGCTCCCCCCTTTCCCCATGTCCCCACACTCCCCTCTATCCCCAAGCTCCCCCTTGTCCCCATGTCCCCAAGCCCTGGTGTCCCCAAGCTCCCCCCTGTCCCCAAGTCCCCACCCGCCCCCTTGTCCCCATGTCCCCAAGCCCTGGTGTCCCCAAGCTCCACATGTCCTCAAGCCCTGGGGTCCCCAAACTCCCCCGTCCTCCCGTCCCCAAGCCCCCCTCTGTCTCCATGTCCCCAAGCCCTGGTGTCCCCAAGCTCCCCCCTTTCCCCATGTCCCCACACTCCCCTCTATCCCCAAGCTCCCCCTTGTCCCCATGTCCCCAAGCCCTGGTGTCCCCAAGCTCCCCCCTGTCCCCAAGTCCCCACACTCCCCCTTGTCCCCATGTCCCCAAGCCCTGGTGTCCCCAAGCTCCACATGTCCTCAAGCCCTGGGGTCCCCAAACTCCCCCGTCCTCCCGTCCCCAAGCCCCCCTCTGTCTCCATGTCCCCAAG